ACAAGAGAAAGAAATTGAAAAAAGAGTTGCAAGACAAATGGGAAACAAGACAGAACAGGAGAAGAAGATGAAAGAAGCCAAAGAGCAGCTGGAGGAGGTGGAGAGAAAACTTCAGTTAAAGAACAACGAGAAAGAAACAGTAGAAGAAGAAGATGAGAAAGATCTGCAGAGGAAGAAAGAAGAACTTCAGGAACAACTGGAGAAACTAGAGAAGGCTCTGGACAGAACAAATAAAGAATTGGATTCTATGACAAAGAGAAAAATGAACGTAACAAAAGAAAAGGACGAGATTATGAGAAAATTAGAGGAGAAGTCAGACAACAGTCAGAACGAATCAGACGAAGATCTTTGACGACATGATGATGATGAAACTCAAGATGGAGAACAACTGAATGAAAAATGATTTTTACCTTAATTAGTCAGCATTTTAATTTCCTCCTCTGTGAATAAAAATGAAATCTGTGATTATCTGTGAAAAAATATGTTAAAAAAAAAAAGTCAAATACTGTAACGTTCAAAAACGGTGGGAAAAAAAAGACAATAATCACGGCAAATATCTGTAAAATAACATGAAAAAACAGATTTTTGATGTGGCTGTTTTGTACATAAAGTTTTGGACAAATTTCTTTGTTTGTTTTATTTTTATTTTTTTTTTATTTTTTCTTACAGTTAACATGTGATGCACATATAACACTATTTTTCTAGGATTTAATTTGATTACATCTGTAATTTTTCAATCTTTAATATACATACATTTTCTTTCAAACATTTTTTAAATAATGGCATCTGATTTAATATGTGGACATTATTTACAGATTTGCGCTGTTTCTTTGCTTTTAACATGTAAATGAATACCACAGAGACGATCTGTAAAATATCAGAAAATAGCTAAAAATGTACCACCAGTGTTTTTGTTTTTTACAGTTTAGATGCTGCTGTGTTTTTGTTTTTTACATCCTTGCTGTGTTTTTACATGCTTTGGTCGAGTATTGACACCAGAACGCTGCCTGTTTGTGTGAAATATTTGTCGTATTTGTTGTTAAGATCTGACACAAATCAGTTTTTATGTCACATGGATGCATTTGTGCATTAATTAATTCAGTAGAAGTGATTTATTTTATGTATTTCTGTGATTTATATCTGTGACTTCTGCCTAACTGCAACAATGTGCTTCTAAAATGAGCTGTGGACAGAAGTGAACAGAGGAGCTGAAAAATCTGACTGTGACACAAAGATGGAAAAGGATCCAACTAAAACCCAGAGTGAGCAGGAACCAGGAGGTCCAGAAGGAGCCACAGCAGCACTGATCAGGGCTGCAGTGGTCGTCCTCCTACAACGACTCCACGGACAGTCAACTACTGTCACTATGGAGCTGTGGACACCAGACAAAGGCAGCTGCTTCAGACTCGGCACAGGGCTGATCAATGGAGACCAGAGTTAGTGTGAAGCTCAGACTCTTCAGAACATCAACCTCTATGGACGGAGGGCAAGAAAGTTTATATATATCTTTAACACTTGATCATTTTGGAGAGATTTAAGAGATTTAAAAGATCCTCAATGCATGAAAAAAAATGAAAAGCTGTCCATGGATGCAAACCTCACCTTGTTCGCAGCACATCCACATGCAAATAAATGCAAGTGATGGCTGAAAGAACTGAACTGTCGCTGTTCAATTGGAGCGTGAACACTAATATCTAACACACGATCATTACACCTGCAGCAGTTCTATTTACGTTTAATTCTTCCATGAAGCCTGAACGACTCTCGAGAATTTCTCAGCCGGCGTGGTTTCGTGAACAAATGTTTGTTTTAGCCGAGTCGAATCCAGTCCGTATATCCATGCTGCACATTTATGTGGATTTAAAACCAGAAAATCAGAAAAAACCTCTGCAACAAAAATGAGTCATTGCAGCGCAAACGTCCTGAAAACGGAACTGACCCTAAAAAGCCAGCGAGTAAAGAACAACTTTAAACTTGTGATCTGAAAACTGATAACGACAGCAGCCGTTACAGTTTGCTCTGACTGCTCTGCAGACGGCGTGCAGCTGAATGAAGGCGTGTCGGGAGCGACGCCAACAAACGCACAATGACAACATGAGTCACTTTTCTTGGAAAAAACTGAAGCTGCCCTGCAACTGTTCTTTTAATTTGGATCACAGGTTCAGTAAATGTTTGCGTCCGTGTCCTTGTGTGCCTTCTGATCCTGTTTCAGTACCGGTCAGGGTTCGTATTTAGGAGCTTGTTCGACATCCCCACACAGGAAGAGAAGGTAACAGGTCGACAAACTCAGACAAAGCTCTCTGAAGTGTCTGTCTGTCTTTACAAAGGTTATCTTCATCTCTAACATCCGTATCATCATGTTGGCAGCGTCTTTGCTGCTGAGTGCCATGTTGGCTCTGACTCAAGCTGCTGGTGAGTGTTTATTGTATTTATAACGCTCCTCCGCTACGTTTCATCGTAAATTACTGACATTTATTGAACAATTATGTCAACTTTGCATGCAGACAATTAGCTTTTTTCAACCTTATGATGCTACATTTCAATATGATACAATGTTAGTAGCTTAAATATGGTTGCATTTACTTTAAATATTTAAATGTTGCAAATCCTGCATATTTGCTTCTCTGCTGAGAGTTCAGTGAGAAGCTGCAGTTTTTGCAAGAGGTGGGATGACTGACGGGGCCTGAAAAATAAATAAATCCAGTGAAATAAGTTTTTATTTTAAAGCACGGTCTGTCTTTTCTGTCCTTCAGCTCTTCCAGGTGTAATGACGGAAGATCCGACAGAGGAAATGATTCCAGACGGTGAGTCCATATTTCATCAGATTTATTCATAACACCGTACAGTAGTTAGATTACATCTGAGTTGAACAGTAGAGTATTTGCTGTGACGTCAAATCAAAGACTAACCTTTTAAATGCTGAGAGTTGGATGAGAAGCTGCAGGTTAGCTTAGCACAAAGAGGTGGGACGGCTAACGGGGCCTGGAAGATAAATAAATCCAGTGAAATAAGTTTTTATTTTCAAGCACCGTCTGTCTTTTCTGTCCTACAGGTCCTCTAAGTGAAACACCGCAACCTCCGACAACGCAACCTCCGACAACGCCAATGATTCCAGAATGTGAGTCTGTTTTCCATCAGAGTTATTTTTATCTGTCATCAGACACAGTGTGAAGCTGTGGATTGTTTAAGGTGAGAGAGATGGAAATAATTAACAGACACTCGTTATGAGCAGAGGTGAGTGCATCCTGTGCAACGTCACTGATTATTACAGTAATTAGATTACTTCTGAGTTGAACAGTAGAGTATTTGCTGTCAAGTCAAGTTAAAAACTAACATTTTAAATCTAGGACAAACACTGCAGCTGTGATTCGTGGTTCCATGGCTCCCTCCAGACCTCCAGGTTACTGCTGCTTCGACTGGTTTTAGTTGCTCACCGAACTTCTCTCATTTTGTGATTCTTCACCTCTTCCGTTCAGTTCTTTTCCACGTAGGGCCGTGATGTCAGCGTGCAGACGGATACGGCCAACAGGTCCAGAACTGAGACAGTTCTGCTGTTTCGAGCTCATTTTAGAACCATGTTCGTGCAGTCAGACTGGTCGGCAGTGAGTTTCTACTGTGGGGCCTTTTTAAATAAGGTCTTCATTGTTCGTAAGAGGAAACATTCTGCTGGACAACTTAGAAGTAATGCATGTATTGAGAGATGATGCGGTTTCAGAGTGTCACTATAACGCAAGACAAACAGAGAAAAACTTCACCTCATACATGTCTTGCCCTGGAGATTGACCATCAAGCCTTCTTCTGTGTTCGTCATCAGATGATTTCTTTCCTGGTGGCTGGTTTCCATCGTGCCCTCATGGGTGGACTACGTACAGCGTTCACTGTCTCCTCTACGTTCCAGGAACCATGACCTGGACTCAAGCTAAGGTAACCACGATGATTCCTCAATTTAGGCTTCACACTTGGAGGCACAACAAACAAAGCTGTACAAAGTACAACAAAGCAAGAAAAACACAGCCAGTGTCACTACGTGGCCGCACCCAGACAACCCAGGGTCAACGAATGTCACGACTTTGGCTCGAGGCGACCAATCACAAACATGGGCGGAGCTGCGTATTTCACAAGGGGAACAAGCGATAATCCTAAATCAATCTTTCCTTTAGATTCCCTTTAAGCAGCAATCAGGAGAAAAACTTGCTGTGTCATTGTCTCCGCTGCAGAAACACTGCGAGGCCGAGGGGGCGGGAGCAACGCTTGCATCAGTGTTCGACAAAACGTTCGCTGAAGACATCCGCGACGTTATGCAGAGCTTCGGACACACGCATGGACAAGTGTGGGTTGGAGGCCACAACACCCAAAAGGTAGACAATGCATCACAATTTATCATGTGGAAGTTCACGTTCCTTTAATGAACATGAACTCAGACGGTCTTCTCTTTTGTCCAACAGAATCCGTCCTGGTCCTGGAGCGATTTCTTAGGAGTCCAACATTTCACCCAGTTTTGTCGCGGAGAGTCAGCAAACCACGAGCACCACTGTCTGCAGCTAACCGTCGGAGGCAAGTCCACCAGCCTCGACGTATGAGTGGTGCAGGTTATTCAGGATCATAGATTAGTGACTCACAAAAGCAGCTGTAAATGCACAAGTGTGTCAGAAACAGCTCCAAGGACAGTGTTGGAGGAATCGGTTCCATACACGAGCAGTGGGTCGTATCGAGGCTTCACTGTGGACTGTTGTCATCCTGAGCGATGTTCTTTCCTCCACAGTGTTTGTCCACACAGTGACGCATCATCAGAAAAGCGAAATTTGAGTTGCACTAATTAACTCCTGCGCTTCTGATCTTGCAGAAAAAGAAGGCGGATGCCTGGATGACATGCGCTGTGACGCCAAGCTGCCGTCCGTCTGTAGCATCATACTCATGTAACCGCTGAGCTGAAACGAACCCAGAACTCATCTGCAAAAAGCACAAACACAATCTGATGTGTGTTTTTGTCATCATTTTCTCATACGTCTCATTTTCCAGCTGCATTTCTGCTTAATGCTGCACAAACAGTAGACGGCTTGTCTTGTAGATGAGAGCACACTGAATGCTTTCTGCGCTTTCTTCCCTTACGAAAAAATTAAACATTTAAGCATCGAAAGAAGCCGTGAGTCTGTGTTCAGTCTTTTACATGTCAAAACTTTTATGGCTAAATCTGATATGTTAGAAGCTCATATTCTGTAATGATGAACGTGAGGTCCAACGTGTTTGCTGTGAACATGCACGGGTTGTTTTCTCATGTTCCACAAAGAAGAACATAGAAAAACGTCTCGAAAGTAACCTACTGATATTATTTAAGATAATATCAACAGTTTTCATTTGTTGTGGAAGATTTCAGACCCCAAAAAAATGCATGAATCTAAACGTGGCACGATGAAAGACGCAGATTTAAAAGATTCCACATCAATGACAATCATATTTTTCACAGAAAAAGTATTAATTTACACTGTAACAGAAATATGCATTGTACAAATATTAATTACATTTTTACAATGTTTATTCTGAACATTGCAGTTTCATTGCATTTAAATCCACTTAGAATGTCATTATTTTACATATATACTTACATACATTTACTTTTTTGTTTTCTGCCACTTTTTCTTTGAGATTTTCACAGATTTGTTTCCAGATTTTTTTCCCCCACAGTGCAAGAAATTAAAAATACTGACCGATTCATGTTCAGAAAACCAACCTGAGTGATTGTTGAGTGTGTGACAGTAAATGATGATTTTCCTATTCTAAGGTTGACGCCGAGGTTTCTCTGTGGTTTGCATGTGGATTATTGAGCATACAGTTGGAATAAAGAACCTAAAAGCCATCAGAACCCGGTGGGAGGTTCCCCGTCGTCAGCTGCAGGGCTTGTAGGTCAACACAGGGTGTGGGTTGTACGTCCGTCTAACAGGTCTGTACGTAGCTACAGAGGTCAATAAAAAGGAGCGAGTCCTCGGCGGCTCAGCTGCAGAAACATTTATGAGAAAAAAAACACCAGTTTACCATTTAAACAGTCAGCCTGATGAAGTGAATCACCAACCTGCTGTCGAAAGTCAACATAACAGTTTGTTCTTGACCCTGAAAGCTGTGTACTCCTACACCTCTCACATTTCTGTCGACCAAATAGTGGTTTTTCCCTTCATACAAGGTTTAATTTCCATGAATGCTGGAGTGACCCAACACCGAAAATCTAAACCGTCCCTGCATATGAATGTGAAAACAAAGCAGCTCAAACATGCAGCAGCTGCAGCAGTACCCTGACTCACTCGTTCATGCAGGACTTTAACTTGTAATGGAGTATTTTTACTTTAATGGAAGGATATTTGCGTTCACCTTTGTTGCTGCGCGTCCGTGTGCTGGTGTACAACACGGCTGCAGGGTCGACTTCACCTGCAGCAACAAGCTTGTTAGTGTATCACAGCACATAAATCCCTTCAGCGGTGATGTGTGAAAACAATCTGACGGTCCAGGATGAAACGTGGAAATTGATGACTGATTTTTTTTGTTTGTTTTATTTGTGAAACAGCTGCAATAATAGGCCCAAACCTCCAGCCCCATTACGAGGACTTTACTATTGTCTTCAAGTTTAAAGTCTGGATTCTATCTTTCAACGATTGGTATCAGCGCATACCAAGGCCTGATCCTTTGGTTTCATTCACTGTTACGCAAGTGTCTTAAATTTCTAAATATTCATAACTTATGCCTCATAATTATTCAGTAATTTGTATTTTAATTTGGCCACACTCGTTATTTTGCCTTGTGAATGTTGCTGTTTTTTATGTTTGCAAGCCGGAGGCAAGTCTTTGTCATGGTGCCCCTTGACGAGCTGAACCCCCACAATCCTCTCCGCTTGCCATCACAGAACTGCTTGCAGTCTGAGTGACGCCTCCTTCAGCCGCGGCAGTAATAAACAGTTAGAGGCTCCACCTGGTGGCGCAACCAGGTAGTGCAGCATCGGATCAAAAGACATGGTAATCATGTAATTTATCATTAGCTTTTGCACATTTTGTTGTTGGACTTATCTTTTGAAACGTGACTGTTCACATTGTAAGCTCACGTTTACTTCCTTGACACGAGTCTGACCTTTGTGGCTTCTGCAGAGACAAAGCAGCATCACTGAGACCAGTGAGAGGTAGACGCTCACCACAGGAAGCAGAACGAGTGCAGAGGCAGACGAGGGCGACTCAGGAAGTCCTGATGCACAAACAGCAGAATGGAAAAAAAAGAAAGAAAGAAAAAACAAGAAACATGAACAGTATTATCTCATCTACAGGAACTCATGGTGAGATGGCAAAGAATGACTTACTCAGGACTTTGTTTGGAACAAGACCTTTTTAATTCCTGTTGTCTTTCTTTTAAGTTTCTGCACCACGTCACCACGATTGCGTCACACCATTTCCACACATTTGTCTGTCCGTGCAGCTTTTTTATTGAAGTCCTTTGAGCTCTCTGCACTGAGAGGCAACTATTCCCACCCAATATATGGATGCAAGATGAAGCTGTCCTTCCCTAAACAGGCTGACGTTGCATTGCTTTATCTTTTTGTGGATGTATGTTTTCGATGGCAAACTGAGGCCATAAAAAAGATGCAAACCATCAGCAACAAAACTCAGACAGAAAACTTCAAACCTTGGTTAATTGGTGTTAACTTCGACTGGAGGTTCTGGGACCCAGAATAGGTTTTAACTGCCATCATTTGTCAAAGACTAATGATCGTTTTCCTGTGGTCCTCTGCTGTTGGAACCCATCCAGCTGACTTAAGGTGTATTTTAAGGGAAACAAAGTAGGTTAAGGCTTTTCTTACCTCTGACAAGCAGCCAGCTGCTCGGTGAGTCTCCACCTCCGGACATGTTGCACCTGTAGAGTCCTTCATCAGACTTGGAAACATTTGTGATGGTAAAGTTTCCCGTAGAGCTGCTCCCAATCAGAAGCTCGTCTTTGTAGAAATCAGCCGTTAGACTGGAGGACGAGCTCGTCTTGTGTCTGCAGCGAAGAGTCACAGCTTCTCCCTCCATCACTGGACGGGCCGGACTCTCCAGAATCACAGAATCAACTGGAAGACAACGATAAACAAAGACTCAAAACGCTGCAACCCTCAACTTCAAACTAGACTCAGGCAGAACTTGCTCATCATCCAGGTTACGTCTTTGTACTGAAGCATTGCAAACCACAAGTAAACTTCCTGTCATGCTCATATCACTGATGCTTCCAGGGCCTGCTGCAATGTAATGTTTTTTCTCCTACAAAATATCTTGAAGTTTGTTTAAACCCACATGTCACAGTGATGCTGACGGTGTCGCTGCACTCCCTGGCTCCAGACTCACACCAGTAAACTCCACTGTCCGATGGGAAAAGGTCGTCGACTACGCAGCCAAATTCAGGTATTTCTGTCCCGTATGTGGAACACTTTTGGTTTACGTTTATGGATGTGTTCCTCATCACCGTCCACCCAGAAGAGCTTCCCTGCTGCTCACAGCTCAGAGAGATGGACTCCAACTGGAAGAACTGGGATCTGTCCGGAAGAACCGTCAGAGACGCTGCAAGAAAACAAGAAAACAAATTAAGTTTTAGATTTAAAAAAAAGAAACAAAGAAATCCACATAGAGCAACAGAGTCTTTTGACTTCCTGCTGTCGTGAACAAGCAGGAAACTTAATAACACGCCTCACACTCTTCTTCTAGCTTCTCTGCAGCCTTAATGTCGTATTCATGATTCTGAAGGAATTGTGGCAGCCTGACGAAAAAGGGAAAAGCTGAAGTGGAGACCACGTGTCAGCTCAAACCAATTCACACTGCCATGCTACGGTATGTACAGGAAATACAATCCAGCCTCTACGTCGTCCACAAACAAGCAAACATTTTCACGAAGCACGTCAGATCCTCGACCATCTTCAGTCCAACTCAATGTCAAAATCCTGCCAATGAAGAAACTAGCACCAAAATATTTCCTGTATTTTTATTTATTTATTTTAGCCAAAAACTGACTGACCGGTAACTAATATATTATGCAATCGGTGCAAATTCATTTCTGTTATTCAACAAATCTGCGAACAGTTTCAGCTCAAGCCTATAAAACCACTGAGTGAAGTAGAAACTGTTGTTTTTGTGTTAAACTCAGCTGTGAAATCAGACACGTCCTCCTTCGTTGGTATATAAAAAAACAAGAATCCCTGAGGTCATCACAAACCAATCTACATTTATCACTTTTTAAAAATGTATTAGCAGTATATATTAGAAGTGTTGTACAGTACTCACCAACAAGGGCGCACAGCGTTGTGATCTCCATAGCGCTGGGTGGCGAAATGACTCGCTGGGTGATTTCACGCTTCTGTCACAGAGGCCACAGCTTCCTGCTTCAATGATGAACCCCAGCATTGTTTCTCACTAGCCAAAAAAAAAAAATAAAAAATCAACTACATTCATGAAACATACCTGAACTGATTTTCCTTCACCACTGGGTGGCAGCAGAAACACGCCTCTGGCAGTTATTGAGCAAATATGATTGTTCAAGGTTCACTGTGGTACGTAGATATAGTTCTTTTTTTCTGTTCACTTTTTGTTGTTTCAAACTGATTTTGTTTCTGTACTTTATCAGTGTGCACCCTGAAAGCATACCTGCCAACGCTATGCATGGCATTTTCATGGCAAAGAAATGGTTTTACCAACACTGTTTAAAATGAGCAATTGTATGCTTTATTCACATTTAATATTTCATAAGTTTGTTCTATTCTGTTTATGTGTCTTTAGGTTATTGTTAGTGGAGCAGGGTTAATGATCCCACCTCCATCTCTTTTCATAATACAGTTATTTGCCTTATTTATAATGTATAATTTCCCCACGGGCACTGGATGCAATGCTGGTGCCCTCTGCTGGGCCCCTGCAGACTTGAGGGGTGAACCCCGCGTTAAGTTTGCCAGTCTGCTGTGTGGGTCGATCAATAATAAGCTCTGTGTGAAATGGTGAATAAGGTTGTTTTAGTGGTAAATCTCTGGCTTGTACGGGTGGTGTACTTGGTAAAATATAGTCAAAATGCTTCTGTGACTGGCTCGTTTATGGAAAATAGCTCATCCCCGTGGTGTCACTGCGAAAAATTAGCTGAATAACTTCTTCGTTTTAGTAATTATTATTGTGGTGACGGCTGTGTGACCGAACATCAGTGTCTTTTACCAGCATCCTGTAAATCTGTGAACAAACGGCTGGTTGGAGACGGTACACAACCGCCACATGAGCATCTTAAACATCTTCAGATAGTCGGAGTGTTGCACTGAAATGAAGTAGCTTCTGATGTCATCTCGGTTTCTTTTCAGCTGTAAAATCACGAAAAGTTGAAACAGATGTACAAAAAGCTCAGGCAGACAACTTGGAGAATTGATTATTTTTATTTTAACTATCAGCTGTTTTTATCGCTCATTCTGTGAACACATTTGATATATACTTAAAAAAACAAAAAACAATTTACATTGTCAGGAGGAAGTCCAGTGAAAATCCCATAAAAAGGCAACTTGTGTTGTAAAGTGGGAAAATCTACGAACCAGGAACAGAAGAAGAGGAGCAGAACACTGGACTGATCAGATTGTGGTGGTGAGAGGCCACTGTGGCCATAACTCAAGAATTCACGGAGTGGAAATTGGAGAATTTGTGGTTGTCGAGCAACAACATGTAGTCTGTTGGTGAAGGCAGCTTGTTTCTCAGCAAAACATTCACTGGGATCATAATGTCAGTATATTGATAACTTGAATTTCATTTAAAAAAAACAAAACAAACAAAAACACTTAATATCCTACTTTTTCTTGAATTCTGAATAAAAAGTGGATGTTGTGACATTTGTACATCCATCTGTCTTCAAGCAGTGCCTGCATGGTATCATCTTATTTGTTGCATTTGCATGGATGGCCTGAAAATACGCCATGTTGGACGGCATGCTGTTACAAAAACCCATTTCCATACAGTAATCCACTGCAGCATGTTTGCATACAGAGAGCAGACCAATGATCTTTGTCAGAGAAACTGAGCAGGAGGGCAATTTCCATAGATTTCTATTATTAAGGCAGAGCCTCCTTTCCCTGTCCACAGAGCTGCATCATGATGGAGGGCGTCTGGCTGGGTGTCTGGTGTCTCTCAGGTCAGTCCACTACTCATTGTTAAACAGCGCGTGTGATTGGGTAATAATGGAAGAAAAGTACTTTGTTAATTTGAAGTTCTGTGTTTTTCTGACAGGGTGGCTCATCCTCCCCGCCTGCCCCCTCCGTCACTACTACTTTGTCGACAAGCCTTTGACTTGGAGTGAAGCTCAGACCTACTGCAGACAGAAATACACAGATCTGGCCACCATTGAAAACGCTGAAGAGGTGAATCAACTCAGGAGCCTGCTTTCATCTGTGAATTACGCCTCTGACTTCTGGATCGGTCTGTACGCTGAGATCAACTGGAAGTGGTCGGATGGGCTCACATGGAGCGGAGCTCAGTACCACTACTGGAGGCATGGTATCCCCACTTTTCGGATGGGTAATTTGTGTGTGATCAAGCTGCGCAGGTGGTTCATGAGAAAATGCACATCTGAGAACCCATTTTACTGTTACAGAGGTAAGGACATCCATGTTATGCTTCAATCTCAGATAAGAACTCCACACAGACAAAATAATGTTTGGACACCACAAAGATAAATTTGCTTATTCATTTGCATCAAGTCTTTGAGTTCAGACAACATCTACTGAAATTATGTTCAACCAACAAATTATACTGAGCATGGCAAATAAGATTTTCTTTCCCACTTACAGGTATTTTTAATTGATTAGTAATTATTTTCATTACCACAAGTCTTTAAGATCATTACTACTAAAAATTCAAACTAGTTTTTCCTACATTACGTAAGAGCACGTTTTATGAGCAGTTGTTACGTACTTATTACCACAGTCATGGTATTTAAACATTTGGTTTCTGTGATTAAATTGTTCTCTTCAGTAAAGTTCACCTAAATCAGTTTTTATCTTGTGCTTTGAATGAAGTGGTGGGAATTTGGTCACATGAATTAGAACTTCAGTGTGTGAATTTATCTCCCTGCTCAAACTGCAGGAACACCGGAGAACCGCACATTTGTTGCTGTGGAGACGCCCATGACTTGGTCCGATGCTCAGAGGTACTGCAGGAAGCATTATGACGACCTGGCCACTGTGAGGAGCTTCAGCGACGAGAAGCAGCTCCAACAACTACTGCCACAGTTGACTTGGCATTGGATTGGCTTGCACTCAAATCGGACATTTTACTGGTCTGATGGGAGCAGGTTCCACTTTTCATTCTTCCAACATTTTCTTCTCCCAAATGACACGATCACAGTCCTCTGTGCGTCGACATCACTGCAGATGTCCATGAATTGGAAGCTCTTTAACTGTAGAACAAGGTTCCCTTTTGTGTGCTACGACCCCCGTGGTGAGTGTTTGACTGACCTCTGCTCAGTTATTTGCATTCATGTGCTGGATGTCACTAAACCAGCTCCACGTGTTTCTGGTCTATGTTTCTAAACAGTCACAAGGCAGGTGGTGAAGCTGAGGATCGAACTGGACGACTCCTCTGTGGATCCGAACAACCCTGCAGTCAAAGAAGAACTCCTGAAGAAGGCAAGTGTCCAAACTCCACCCCGAGATGCCAGAAACATTCAGAGTGGATCACAGGACGACGGAAAGTTAACGTTTAAACAAAGAAAACACATTTAGATCCAGACGTATACCCAGAACACCACCTGCTAGCTCCAACTACTGTTCAAAGGAAATGTTTTAATCAAGTCTTGACAGAATGGATGAATTTCTAGTAAAGCTCCATGTTGCTTAATGTCAACATTCAGAGGATGTTGTCAAGAACACAGCTGATGTTCTGAGACAACAAAGGAGGAACGTTCTGTAACCAACGTTCAATAGAACCTATCCAGATGTTACGAAGGCCTTATGTCACGTTCTATAAAGCGGTCCAGTGATGTAACATATCAAACACAGAACATGTTGCCTTTTCATTGAGGGAACACGTTATAGAACATTTTAGCAATAACAAAGGAAAGAACATTCTCAGTGTCAGGTTTGAGAATGTTTGGACAGTGTTCCCGCAAAACCGTTTTAGCGCGTCCTCAGGTATCGTCCTGTAAGAAAAACATTCTGGGACGTAAAAAACAAAAAAACTAAACTGAAAACATTAGTAGAACTTTGCAGAACATTTTTTAAAAACTATTTCCGCCATGTTTGTCCTCCAGCTGCAGGCCAGGCTGGAGGAGGACGGAGTGAGCGGAGCCGCCCTGAAGTGGAGACAACAGCCTGACGGGAAAGTGTTCCACAAGGAGGAGGATGAAGGAAACCCGCCTGCATGTTAGCGGAGCTCCTCAGACACCTGCGTGTTCACCAAAGTGCAACGGCGCCCTCTTGTGTTTGAACTGGTGTATTACTGCCTTTGAGTTTGTGGTGTTTGATGCCTTCTGTGTTGTGGTTCGGTGCAATTTTACTTTCACAGCAAACTCTCGAGCGTTGCTGATATCTACTATTTCACCTTTATTGTTTAGTTTTTTTTTTAAATTTAGTGGCTCTGAATGCTTTATATCTACCGTGTGTGTTTATTTTAATGTAAAACACAAATAAACAACGTTGAATAAGTCAATTAAGGAATGTTTTCTCCTCGTTATGTATCCTGTAATGTCACATTTTGTGCTCCCACTTGTTTCTCACTAAATTATGGAAATAGTGTTATTGGCATTTCTTCTTGAAAAAAATAAAATAAAACGAGAAGGTGAGAAACTCATCACCAACGAGTTACTTTAACAGAAATACATGAACACTCTTCATCACTCCGTCCAGTTTAATCCAGTTGGAGGGGAAAGAAATGCTTCAAAACATTTAAAAAATCCTACTATGTGTGATTTTTCCATCCAATAATGACAAGTACCTAGAAGACAATGTTTTTTGCTGACTTAAATACATTTAACAGTCGAACATAACCGTTTGATTTTCAATGCGAAAAGTTCTTTTTTTGTTATAATTAATTGCTCCACCGGCTTTATGAACAACGTCCAGGTTTGTTCAAGAATAGAAATAACTACATAGTGTGTATATTGTGTATTGGGTGTGTGACTGTCTATGTGCAAGACATATGTATCAGTCTACTATCTGGCTCTTTAACCCCAGCATAATTATTAGAGCAGAGTAAACAGTGAAACCCACAGTAAACAATATAAATCCCACATTACAGAATTTTATTACAGTAAATGAGAAAACACACGGTCCTGACTCATTACTGTAATAAGGCAACTTT